CCCCTGGGAGTGCTGAGGCCAGCGCCTCGCCTGAGACATCCCGAGACTCTGCTCCGAGAGCAGAGGATGCTCAGGAGGGAAAGAAACACACAGACACAATTAATCCTAGATTCCGCAGAAAATATGGGAAAATATAGGAAGTGGGGGGGGAAGACAAAAACCCAGAAAATATTGGAATATATGGGGAATCTTTTTATTTGTGTGTATTTATTTGTGTGTCCCAGGGCCCCTTCAGATGCTACGGTCTGAAACAGGCATGCCGCTCGAGACGTCCCCACAATCTGGGCGCCAATCCTGGGGTGCCCCCACCCCTGATGCCCCCCCCTTGGGAGTGCTGAAGGCAGCGCATCGCCCGCGACATCCTCAAACTCTGTGCCGAAAGCAGAGGACGGTACGGTCCGAAGCGGGCAAGCCGCCCGAGACATCCTCACCATCAGGGCGCGAATCATGGAGTGTCCCCACCCCTGACGCCCACCCCCTTAGGAGTGAAACCATCGCCTTGCTTGAGACATCGTCAGAATCTGCTCCGAAAGCCGAAGCTGCGACCGTCCGAAACAGGCAAGCCGCCTCAGACATCCCCGCAATCTGGGCGCGAAACCTGGAGCGCTCCCCCCCCAGCGCCCCCGCCCCCCTTGGTGTACCCAAGTGGTACGCCTGCTTAATCGCGGTGGTCATTTGACCATCTACAGACACACATCTTACGGTCCGTAATAAGCAAACTGCCTGAGCGATTCTGAGCAGGCGCGAATCTGGGTCTGAGTATGAGAGGAGTGCGCGTGTCAATCAGTGTGACTATCGTTGAGTCTGAGAGCGAGTGAGTCTGAGTGTGAGCGTGCCTGAACTTATTGAGTCTTGGTATGAGTGAGTCTGAGTATGGGTTGATATGAGTATGCGTGAGTCTGAGGATGCGTGAGTCTGAGGATGAGTGAGTCTGAGTATGAGTCAGGCTGAGAGAGAAGACGAGGAGGAGTACGAGGAGGAGGAGGAGGAGGAAGAGGAGGAGGAAGGACGAGAAAAGGTGCCGACGTGGTCTCAGTAGAAAAGGCGAAGCCGCGGCGCCTGCCCCCGCCGGTGCGTTCACTCAGATGGCAACATGCAAGCAAAGAAGTAACATCAGTCACAGCCATGACGGGCCGCTCGCGCCCGTCGGCCGCGGGCGCATGCAGAGATCCAGAGCTTTCACCACCGACGCGTGGACACCATCATCGCCATCGGCATGATTGGCATCGGCGCCGTCCTTGGCCTTGCGGTCGTCGTCGCCATCGTCGTCACCAGCATCGCTACTATCATCATCGTGTTTGCCGTTGTTGGCGTCGCCACGATACCGCGCCCGCCCGAGTCACCGACTCGCACTGGAGTGCCCGCGCGCCAGCGCGGCCTGCGAAATACGCTGGGGACTCCCCAGCGGTAAGCGCCACCGCGGCCGCGTCGGTCGCGCCAGAGTAGCTGGCCGCTCTGCGCGCGAGCCGGCGCGCGCCAGCACGGCCGTAGCGATGCGCCAACCAGTGCCAAGCAGTCATCGCAATCGCTTCCGCATGGGTTTTGCAGACCTGGTTGCGGGTGGGTAGGTGGGATGATTGTGCGAGAAGTGGAGTTGACAAATCCGAGTTCGGCAGGGTGAGTTGGACCTCGTAGATTGCGCCACATGTAAATGTTCACGCCGCACAGTTCACATCACATGTGTTGCACCACGTATACTGCACTGCATACGTTCAAGACCGCTGCCGTTGTATCACAATACCTTCAGCAGACCCGACCCCGCCCAAAAGTAAACCAGACCACCCGCTTCTACAAGCTGGGCCACCCCCGAATGTAGACTTGATGCCGCCCACGAGCATGCCATACCTACCAATCGCAGCAGTCAAAGCCGCCCAAAGGTAGAGAAGACCCCGCCCAAAAGTAAGCCAGACCACCCGGCAAGGCAGGCAAGACCGCACATATGTAGACCAGAGCCGGCCCAAAAGTAAGCCAGACCACCCTCCACAGGAGTCGAGGCCTCTCGAAAGTAGACCAGACCTCTGTTGAAAGCAAACCAAACCACCAATCATTGTGGGCCAGAGCCGAAGAGTATACCAGACCCCACCCAGAAGTAAACCAGACCACCCATCAACGCACGCCAGACCATCCAAAAGTGCACCAGACTCCGCCCACAGGTAGATCAAACTACCGATCGCCTCAAGGCGGGGTGCCCGAAAGTAGACCCGACCGCGCCCCGAATAGACCAGAACACCAACCGCAGCAGGCTGGACCGCCCAGAAGTAGAGCAGACCCCGCCCTAAAGTAAACCAGACCACCCGCCACAATAGGCCGACCACCCAGTAGTAGATTAGTCAAGGGAGGAAGAACCACCCGGACCGGACAATTGGCGTTTACTAAACGGCCCTGGGCGTTTACTAAACATCCCTGCCCCGTTCGATTCCTTTTTTTGGGTGCGTTTACTAAACTGCTTCGCGTGTCGGGGTGGTTATTGTCGGGGTGGATTTTCTGCCCTCTGATTAGACCCCGCCCACTAAGAAACCATACCTTCCACCGCATCAGGCCAGGCCTCCCCAAGAAGCGAGCCCGACCCCGCCCAAAGGTAAAAAACACACCACCGATCAACCCAAGCTGGACCGCCCAGCAGTAGACATGGCCTGTCCCAAAAGTGAACCAAGACCACACGTCAAAGCACGCCAGATCACCCGAACAGTAGGCCCGACTCGGCCCAAGAGTATTCCAGGCCACCCGTCGAAGCAAGCCAGGCCCCCCAGCAAATTCAGCCGGGCCCCGCCCAAAAGTGCCAGACCACACGTCGCAGCAATCCTGACCCCAGCAAAGTGCCAGGCAAAACCCGCGCGCGCCCGCGAATAGCAGAGCCGCCCGACGCAGCCGATCGTCTGGAGGGCCAAGTATTAGACAGAGAGGCGCGCGCGGCTCTTCCCTCAGTTCGCGCGCATGGCGCCGCAGTGCAGAGGTGCATTTCCTCCTCCTCCTCCTCCTCCTCCTCCCCCCTCCTCCTCCTCCTCCTCTCCTCCTCCTCCTCCTCCTCCCCCTCCTCCTCCTCCTCCTCCTCCTCCTCCTCCTCCTCCTCCTCCTCCTCCTCCTCCTCGTGCGGATTTTTGGTTGGCGTGTTCGGCTTCGGGGAGCCGTCTCTGGACACCAGGACCGGCGAACAAGCGGTTCTGGATGTAGCAGCGGCCCCCAGGGGAAGTCCTCAGTGCCCCCAGGGGCCCCGCACTCGAAACAGAGCGACGTTCATTGATGTGCTTTCCCACAGCCAACCTGTGGTGCTGGGTCCTCGTTGTGAAGAGACAGCGCCCCGCGTTCCTCCACTCCCTCCCCCCTCCTCCTCCCTCCTTCTCCTCCTCGGCTTTCCTCGTCCTTCTCCACCTCCCTCCTCCCTCCTCCCTTCCCCTCCTCCCCCCTCCCTCCCCCCCCCGTCCTTGCCTCTGCTCCGCCCTCCCCCCCCCATCTTTGACACCCCTCGCACGCTTCGTGGCCCCCCAGAGGGAGATTTCCTCCCTCCTCCCTCCTACCTCCTCCCTCCTCCCTCCTCCCTCCTCCTCCCTCCTCCCTCCTCTCGTGGCCCCCGTGGGGACCACCACCCCGTGGGGCAGCGTTCGCGTGTGCCCGCCGCACCCATTTCGGCACACCCCTCGCACGTGTCGTGCCCCTATACAGAGCTCCACCGAAGGCCCAGAAGGCAGCGCCCGCATGCGCCCGCCGCACCAATTTCGACACATCTCCCTGGCCCCCGTCGGGAGCTCCACTGAAGGCCCCAGTGGCTACGCTCGCTTGTGCCCGCCGCACCATTTTCGGCACACCCCTCACCCTTATTGTGGCCCCCGTGGGGAGCTCCACCGAAGGCCCGGAAGGCAGCGGCCGCATGCTCCCGCCGGAAACATGTTGGCACACCCCTCGCACGCTTCGTGGCCCCATAGGGAGCCACACCGAGGGCCCCAAAGGCAGCGCCCGCATGTACCTGCCGCGCACATTGCAGCACACCGCTCACACTTTTCGGGGTCCCCCGTAGGGTGCTTCACCGAAGGCCTCAAAAGCAGCGTTCGCATGTGCCATGTCGGCACACCCCTCAAACGTTTCGTGGCCCCCATAGGGAGTTCCACTGACGACTCAAAAGGAAGCGCCCGCATGCGCCCGCCGCACCCATTTCGGCACACCCTTCACGCGCTTCGTGCCCCAATAGGGAGCTCCACCGAAAGCCCTAGAGGGAGCTCCACCGAAGGTACCAGTGGCAGCGCTCGCGTGCCGCCGCCATCCCACTTTGGCTCACCCCTCACACGTTCCGTGCCCCCATGAGGAGTTCCATTGAAAACGGTATTCACGACTGCGGTACTCACAGTTGCATCTGGTTGGGTCGTTCGCCAGGGTCTTTTTGGGTTGGTGGACCCGTCATTCAAAGTGCCTCCTCCCTCCTCCTCCTCCTCCTCCTCTCCCCTCCTCCTCCTCCTCCTCCTCCTCCTCCTCCTCCTCCTCCTCCTCCTCCTCCTCCCCTTCCTCCTCCTCCTCCTCCTCCTCCTCCTGGACCAGAGGAGCCCCAAAAGATCCCCCGGAGGGCCCACAGAGGGCACCCGAGTGCTCCCCAGAGCGCCCTCTAGGAGCGCCGTAGGACGGCCCGAGAGGGCGCCAAGAAGAGAAGACCGCCACAGAGCCCTGAGACACGCCAGAGGAGCCCAAGAAGACCCCAGTATTCGATGCTCGTTTCGGGGACCTTCCTGGAGCCCACCTAACGGATCTGTTCGACCCCAGTTCGACTCAAGTTCGACTCAGGTTCGACTCAAGTTCGACTCAAGTTCGACTCAGGTTCGACTCAGGTTCGACTCAGGTTCGACTCAGGGTCGACCCAAATCGACTGATGTTCCACGCAGCTTCGACGCACGAGTGGAGCGAGTGGCTCCAGGAAGGTCCCCAGAACGAGCATCCAACCGGTAGCTCCCGAGAGGCCCCCGACAGGCCCCCAAGAAACCCCCAGGATGCCCCAAGATAGCTCCAAACGGCCCCTCAGTATCCCTTTTGGCTCAGGTGTGCAGCCAAGGACGCTGTGAACGCTCGCGCGCGACGAAACTGATTCCCAACTCCTCTCGGCGACCTCCCTCTTCGTCCGCTCTTCATCCGCGGAGCACTTGTTGCACCTTTGCTTCCCAATCGGCTCCGAGGACTCTTCGGCTCCGAGGACTCGGGAACGCAGACTGGAGCGGGGCGGTCCGCAGCCACGGCAGCGGACCTGGAGGAGCGCACGGCTGGCGCAACAGGGATGGTTTTGAAGTTCGCCGGTGATGCATAATGGATGTTGCGGGTGCTCATCCGAGGATTTGTGATGCTATTCCTTGTGCAGCCCGGTACCACAACGGATGCCAGCTACTACACGATGGCACTGGAGGAGAGCGGGTGCGAGTACCAATTCTTTTGCGGGGGGTCCGAAGTTCAGACCACTGATGTCGGCCAAACTGAATCAGGGCTATGTACTCTCCAAGGCTTCTCTCTGATCCAGAGCGCCGACGACTGCGGCCAGGCCGCCGCGGCACTGGGCATGCTGAGTGGTTGCACGCCGCAGGCATGCTCGCCCATCGCGGCGACCACCACTCGCGCGCCAGGCTGCTATGGGAGCATTCCGGACGAGACCTTGTTTTTCAACCCGCGGTTCACAGATACAGGTCCGCACGCGAGCAGTTGCCATGGCGGCTACGCCTGCAAGAAGTGCACCACAGCGGCACCGACGCCCTTCCCGACGCCAACACTGACGCCCTTCCCGACGCCATTTCCGACGATCACCAAGACTGTCACGAGGACCAGCGAGACAGGCACGGGCTCCGCGACGTCAAGCACCACATCCACCACCGAGACAGGCACGAGCTCCCCCACGTCAAGCACCACATCCACCACCGAGGCAGGCACGAGCTCCGCCGCGTCGAGCACCACAGCCACCACCGATATGGTGCTAACCGCAACGACTGTGTTGGTGAGCTCGGTGCTGGCAGGATCGCAGGAGTTGGTGGTGGAGTCCGAGGAGGGCTTTTCTGCAGGGGACGCCATCGTGATCACTGGTGGCGGCAATTCTGAGACACGTAACATCGCGAGCTTTGGGTCCATTGTGCTCGACGCACCACTGGACTACGGATACCCGGCGGGGTCCAGCATCACCAAGCTAGGCGGTAGTTATTCGAGCATTGTGCCATTGGCGGTGGAGCAGCAATATTCCGAGGGAAAGCTTGCAGTCATCGCTGGTGCCGCGATTGTCCTCCTGGCCTGCGTCGCGCTGGGCTTGGGCTGCCTGATGAGGCGCGGACGCTCCTGCTGTGCCAGAGGCCCAGCGCACGACCGCGGCATGCGCGACGCGCAGATGCACCAGCCGGACCAGAAGGCTGAGTTGCTGGAGAACATGGACTTCTGGTTCCTTCCTGTGGAAGCATTCATGAAGATACCGCGCAACAAGCCCATTCCCCGTCACCAAGTGTTGAGGGACGCCGGTCTGTTGGTGAAGCGGACCATGGCCCTGGAAGATGTGTTGGCTGGGCGGTTCGTGGCTGACACAGCAGCACTGTCCCACCGCTGGCTAGGGCCAGGACACTTCGATCCGGAGTGCAGCAACTTGTGCGAGTTGCAAGACATGTTGGCCAAGATCCCGTCGATCAAGTTTCTATGGGTCGATTGGGTGTGTGCACCTCAGTGGCACGGCGGCGGGCGGACCGCGGAGGAGGAGGAGGAGTTCGGGCTGGTCGTGAAGAACGTCTTGCCAGTCATCTTTCTCGGGTGCACGGTTATTGTGCCGTACGAGCGCGTCTATAACCAGCGGTTTTGGCCAAACGTGGAGTGTTGGATCGCCACCAAGATGGTAACGGAGGACGGGCTAGTGCCTGCTTCCGAGGACAGGCTCCGATTGAAGGTCCACGGCATTGACTCGGCAAAGGGCAGTAATTGCGCCTTCTACGTGCTCGACAGTTGGCACTATGCTGATGCGCAGAAGGCTATCCACAGCCTGTCTCAAAAGGACATTATGGTCACGAACGCCAGCGACAAGGAGATCAACTTGAAGGTCGTTGCCTCCCTGGACGGCATGATCCGCAGCCGCTACATGTCCGTGTAGTTGTTTTCCGCGATTGTGCGATAGCTATCCTTGTCGCTCTCCTCGTCCTCGTCCTCGTCCTCCGGGTTGACGGCCGCGAACGGCCCCCGGGCCGGCAGGGAAAAACCTCCCGAGACGGCGCATTGGACCCCACACGAAAAACAGGGAATGATGGCCCCCGGTGGGAGTGGAAGAAGCGGAGAGTCACACACCCGATCGATACCCCAAACAATGACAACAACACTGAAACCCACCCCAGAAAGACAACCGAACATCCGTTATTTAGGGTATATGCTACTCCACTTCCGCCCCCCCCCCCCCGCGACCAGGCCAGCCCGCTGCCCCACCCCCCTCTGCGTTCTAGCAACAACCCCCGCCGCGAAGGGGTTTGGGGGGAGCAGGCAACCAGAGGAATCCGGCGCCGGGCGCAGTGAGTTTGCTCCCCCCAGATGGTCCTTAAAGAAGGCCATCGGCGCTGGGGCCATTGGCCTGGAAGCGCGGCAAAACGAGCGCCCAGGCCGGGCTGTCCGTAACGCTGGAACCAAGGAGGGTGGGCGCGGGACTAGCGCAGGCCGCGACACCGCTTTGCCCCAACTCACTTCTTTGCGTGTCGTCGATGCGCAGGGGCCAGACTAATCTATTGAGACACGCAACCACACATATTCACAAAATCATATGTTGGGTGCTTCGTTGTTGGGTTTCCAATGCGCACATCGAAGATCGCACCTGATTCACCGAACTGCCTCAACCGGCTACTTAGGGTCCACTACGGGCACCATATCGGGAGCACACGAACACTTAGACAGAATAAGCCGGGTCGCCTGGACCATGGGCACCCCCGGCCTGCCCCCCGGATGGGGCCGAGAGGGAAAGAGCCGTAGCCCCAACCGCCCTCTCTGGCATGGAATCCGGGGAGGTTTGAGCAGTCCCGCCCCCGCACTCACAATAAGACCAGAAGAGGGACGATCACAATGTGGCACTATCCGCCAGCGCCCGAACATACAGCACAAGTCCCCTCCCCGAGCATTACCCGTTAGGGGGCGCCCTCCTGGGGAGGGCGTGGGTTAGCCGTACCCGGTACCCCTTGGGGGATACGTTGCCCCAGACGCGGCCGCTCAGCCACCGGGGGATCAACAGTGCGGCCGCCAAACCGAACCCTTGGCCCCCGCGCCCCTCCAGGAGAAGGAGGGGGAGGAGGGGAGAGAGGAGGAAGGGGAAAGGAGGAGGGGGAAGAGGGGGAGGGGGACACAACGAGGGCCGGGGGGTGGTTTGATACGGCCGCCTTGTCAACCCCCCAAACGCATCGACTTAGACTCCTGACTGTGAGAACCGTTGACAGGCCGAGACTCGTGGAGGCCTCTGCTCTATGCGTCAGCTTGTCGCTCTCCTTCCTTCGCACCTCAATCATCGCCGTTGCGTGTCTTGTTCCGCCCCTGCTCCACATACATATAATGTCAGAGCGGGCCCCCCGGCCCCCCCCTGCACACAATGACGAATGGGGCCACCCCCCTTGGTGCCGAATTTGGCCCCCGGGGCCTGGGGCCCGTTTTCGGCTATCACAGCAACCATGGGCGTTCCAATAGTGCCGACGACGGCTTCTGGACGGCCAGAGAGGCCTTCAAGCTGACCCAAGAGCGCTTCAAACCGCTCCGAGAATTGCCAAAGATGACCTCGGCACCGCCCAAGATAACCTTGCGGCGGCTCCGGAGGCATCCAAGACGCCCCAGGAGAGTTCCAAGAGCCCCCCCCAAGAGTGCCCATAGCAGGAACATTGTCACATTCCCTGTGGGATGCACAGATTTTAAGCACATTCACAATTTTGGTGTTCACAGCGTCCACGACGGCCTGATTGCTCCCTACAGATCCCACCAAGAAAGCCAAGTAGGCGCCCGATGCGGCATCAAAGCTGCCCAATAGAGGCCAAAGACTGCCCGCGATGAGCCCGAGACTGCCAAGAGAGCCCCGACAGGGCATTTCGACGAGGGGCCAAACAATAATGATTTGAACTCACGTTCGAGCCCTCCGCTCCAAGCGGGGCCCCGAGACCGCCAGCAGGCCCCCGAGAAGCCTCCAAGCTGCCCCCAAGACGCCCAGAATAACCTCCAAGAGGTTCGTAGCCATTTTGGCTCAAGCAATTTCGGCTCAAGTTAAATCGAGGACGCCGGCGGCGCATCACCGGCCGCTCCCTGGGAGTTTGCCGAAGATCGCGCAGCATCGAAAGTCGTGACGTGGCGCGGCCCATCCCGCCACCGTGCTTGGGTTTTGGGTCGGAGTCCTCGTGGACGCTTCTTGGGGTCTCGAGAGGGCTCTCGGGGCCTCTGCGGGGGAGTTTAGGGCCTCTTGAGGGCCTCCTGGGGGCTTCTTGTGAGCCTCTTGGGGGCCTCTTGGGGCCTTTGGGGGCTCTCTTGGAGCCTCTTGGGGGCCTCCTGGGGGCCTCTACGAGCCCCCTGGGGGCCTCTTGGGACCGAACGCTCAAAATGTTCATTCGGGTTCCCCTTCTGAGCGCCCTCAAGTTGAATCTAAAGGCTGCCGCCTCTGCCGCCGACCCCAACTGAGCGACGTATGTTTGATTCGTTTGTTGTCGGGGTGCCTTTCCGAGCACGGCAGGAAGGGTTCAGGTGAGACATCCAGGCCTGAGCCTCGCCCCTTGGACTTCTGATTCTCTGTTGCACCTCGGACTCCTCTCTATCGGATGGCCTTCGGTCCATCCCGCCATTGTGCCTGGGTTATGGTTATGAAGCCTATTGGATGTTCGTTGGGATCTCGTGGGGGACATTTAGAGGGCCTCTTGGATGTAGTAAGGCCTCTTGGGCGTAGCTTTGGAATCCCTTGGGGTCGCTGTTGGGTCCCTTGGGGACCTCTTGGAGCCTCTTGGGGCCTCTTGGGTGCCTTTTGGGGCCGGGACTGATTTTGCAGGGTGCGGGGTCCCTAAGAACTGATGTCCACAAGCTCCAGGAGGCTGGCGGTGTCAGTACGTGGTGGGGGGGGTCCCAGGACGGATTTTGCAGGGTGGGGGATCGTGAAAAAACGATGCCTAGAGGCTCCAGGAAGCTGGCGGTGTCAGACGTGGTGGGGGGGTCCCGGGACGGATTTTTCAGGGTGGAGGGTCCCTAAGAACCGATGCCCACGGGCTCCAGGAGGTTGGCAGTGCCAGACGTGTTGGGGGGGGTCCCAGGACGGATTTTGCACGGTGATGGGGGTCCCCAAGAACCGATGCCCAGAGGCTTCAAGAGGCTGGCGGTGTCAGACGTGGTGTTGGGGGGGTCTCCGGACGGATTTTGCATGGTGGAGGGTCCCTGAGAACCGATGCCCAGAGGCTCCAGGAAACTGGCGGTGTCAGACGTGGGGGGGGGGGGGTCGCAGGACGGATTTTGCATGGTGGGGGGTCCCTGAGAACCGATACCCAGAGGCTCCAGGAAACTGGCGATGTCAGACGTGGTGGGGGGGTCCCGGGACGGAATTTGCAGGGTGGGGGGTCCCGAAGAACCGATGCCTAGAGGCTCGGCTCCAGGAGGCTGGCGATGTCAGACGTGGTGGGGGGTCCTGGAACGTATTTTGCAGGGGGGGTCCCTAGTATCCAATGCCCAGAGGCTCCAGCAGGCTGGCGGTGCCAGACGTGGTGCGAAGGTCCCGGGACGGATTTTGCAGGGTGGGGGTCGCTAAGAATCGATGCCCAGAGGCTCTAGAAAGCTGGCGGTGTGGTGGGGGTGTCCTGGCGCTGTTTTTGCAGGGTGGGGGGTCCCTAAGAACCGATGCCCAGAGGCTCCAGGAGGCTGGCGGTGTCAGACATGGTGGGGGGGTCCTGGGACGGATTTTGCAGGGTGGAGGGTCCCTAAGAACCGATGCCCAGAGGCTCCAGGAGGCTGGCGGTGTTAGAGGTGGTGGGGTGGGTCTCGGGACGGATTTTGCAAGGTGGGGGGTCCCCAAGAACCAATGCCCAGAGGCTCCAAGAGGCTGGCGGTGCCAGACGTGGTGGTAGGGTCTCCGGACGGGTTTTGCAGGGTGCGGGATCCCTAAGAACCGATGCCCAGAGGCTCCACGAGGCTGGCGGTGTCAGACGTGGGGGGGGTGTCGCAGGACGGATTTTGCATGGTGGGGGGTCCCTGAGAACCGATACCCAGAGGCTCCAGGAAGCTGGCGGTGTCAGACGTGGTGGGGGGGTCCCGGGACGGATTTTGCAGGGTGGGGGGTCCCTAAGAACCGATACCGATAGGCTCCAGGAGGCTGGCGGTGTCAGACGTGGTGGGGGGGTCCCGGGACGGAATTTGCAGGGACGGGGGTCCCTAAGAACCGAAGCCCAGAGGCTCCAGGAGGCTGGCGGTGCCAGACGTGTTGGCGGGGTTCCGGGATAAGCGCCGATGCCCAGAAGTTGCAGGAAACTGGCGGTGTTAGACGTGGTGGGGGTGTCCCGGGATGGATTCTGCAATGCGGGACTCCGATCCCCAGAGGCTCCGGGAGGCTGGCGGTGTCAGACGTGGTGGGGGGGTCGCAGGACGGATTTTGCAGGGTCTGCAGGGGTCCCTAGTATCCAATGCCCAGAGGTTCCAGGAGGCTGGCGGTGTCAGATGTGGGTCCCGGGACGGATTTTGCAGGGTGGGGTCCCTAAGAACCGATGCCCAGAGGCTCCAGGAGGCTGGCGGTGTCAGACGTGGTGGCGGGGTCTCGGAGCGGATTTTGCAGGGTGGGGGGTCCCTAAGAACCGATGCCCAGAGGCTCCAGGAGGCTGGCGGTGTCAGACGTGGTGGGGGTGGCCCGGGAGGGATTTTGCAGGGCGGGGGTGCCTCTAAGAACCGAGACCAGGGGCTCCAGGAGTCTGGCGTTGTCAGGCGTAGTGTGGGTGTCCTGGGAGGGATTTTGCAGGGTGCGGGATCCCTAAGAACCGATACCCAGACGCTCCAGGAGGCTGGCGGTGCCAGACGTGGTGGTGGGGTTCCGGGATAAGCACCGATGCCCAGAAGCTCCAGGAGGCTGGCGGTGTTAGACGTGGTGGGGGGGTCCCAGGAAGGATTTTGCAGGGTGAGGGGTCCCAAAGTGGGAACCGAGGCCCACAGGTTCCAGAAGGCTGGCGGTGTCAGATGTCATGGGGGGGTCCCGGGACGGATTTTGCAGGGTGGGGGGTCGCTAAGAATCGGTGCCCAGAGGCTCCAGGAGGCT